AGGGCTCCCGGGCAGACTCATCATCCTGAGGGTGAGGAACTTGGGGCCTTGCATGTTAGGTGAGCACTCTGCTGTATTGAGCAGAGTTATTATGAGACAGTTTTATTGTGCAGGCCATGTTGACCATGAAGAGACCTTTTCAAGTGCTGGGACTGTGAGTGGGCACCACCTTGTCTGGCTATAATGTTTGATTGTTTTTGGTTTTTGTTTTAAATGTAAGAGCTAGGTATGGTAGACCAGACAAAAAATCTTATCACCTAGAAGCCTGAAGCCTGTGAGTAGAGAATTCAAGGTCGGCTGTAGTGAAACTTTGTCTCAAAGCAAACAAGTCAGGTGTACTTCCTGTGCTGGTAATCTCAATACCCTGGAGCTGAGACAGGGTTGTCACAGGCTTGAGGCTGGCTTGGCCTACATAGAAAGTTTTGGATCAGCCAATACTCTTTCTATATCGAGAGTTTATCTTTAAAAGAAACAACAACAAAACCCATAGAAGTAAAAAAAAAAAAAAAAAAAAAAAAAAGCAAGCTAAGATTGCCAAACCACTCAGGCCATGGCTTAAGTCCTGGATGCCAATAAAATAAAATAAGAAAATTCAGACATGATGGCGCACATCTTTAGCCCCAATACTCTGGAGGCAGAGGCAGGTGGATCTCTGAGCTCAACTTCAGCCTGGTCTATACTATGAGTTCCAGGACAGCCAGGGATACACAGAGAAATGTTGTCTCAAAAAAAAAAAAGTATGTCTTTTATGTATACGAGCGCTCTATCTGCATGTACACAGAGAGGAGCTGATTCTCTGTGGATGTTTAAGAGCCACCATGTGGGTGCTGGGAATTGAACTCAGGACCTCTGCAAGAGCAGTCAGTACTTTTTAACTGCTGAGCCAACTCTCCAACTCCCTCCAGATCAGTCTTCTAAAAAATTACATGTGTTTACTTATTTATTTAGCGTGTGTATGTCATGGGACATGTATAGAGGTCAGAGGACAACTTTCAAGAGTCAGTTCTTTCCTGCACTGTGAGTCCTGGGGTCTCAGATCATCAGGCTTGGCAGCAGATGCCCTTCCACACTGACCTGTCTCGCTATCCCCCCAGTCTGTCTTTTACCTGCCTTCTAGGGTAACTTTGGCCTGAGTCTGGCTTGAAAGGTTTAGGAACACTCTCCTGTCTACTAGTCACCATGACTTTTCCTTCAGAATTGTTCTATCTTGTGTCTTATTGTTTATCTGTGCATTGTTTACTGTTGTTTGGAAATCTGCAAGCTTCATCACGGGACTTTGAAGTTCTTTCCCATCAATACATCCCTAGTTCTTGCACAGTGCATAGTATCTGACAGGTATTTTTGGATAAATGAGCAGATGAGTGAATGAATGAAAAAACATTAATGAACAAACTAGGAGAGGAGAAAGAGGTGGTTAGAAAGGGTCATGCCAGCAGGGGTGGTGGTGGCACATGCCCTTAGTCCCAGCACTCAAAGCAGAGGCAGGAGAATCTCTGAGCTCAAAGCCAGCCTGGTCTACAGAGCAAGTTCCAGGACAGCCTACACAGACAAACCCTGTCTTGAAAAACCCAACAAAAAAGAAGAAAGGAGGGAAGGAAGGAGGGAAGAAAGAAAGAAAAAGTCATCTTTCCTGCTTTCTAGCTTTCTAGATCCTCTGGGGTTTTCTGCTTCTTGGTCAGAATGGCATTGGTGACCTCAACGGTGTGGGGCCACTAGTGGCTATTGACAGTGATGGAAGTGAGCGTGCCAACCATATCCTGGGCAGCTGCCTTTGGAGGGGAACAGAGACTTGCAGTTGCATCGGAAGAAACACCAGACCTGAAAAGTCCAGTCTGGGATCCAGCCAGGGGAACCGTGCTGGCTCAGAAAGAGGAGAAGGATTGGAGATATTGATCAGGTCCTGTCCACAGAGAGCCAGTCCCACAGGGCCTCGCTCCCCTCCTGGCTCTGTCTTCCTCACAGGCCCTTTGTCACCTCACATCTGTCACCATAGTCTAAGCACCTGCCTCATCGTGCTTCCCGCTGTTCACTTCTGACTTTTGTGGGGCGGTAGCTGCAACCCCCTACCAGCTGTTCTTGTTTCTTGAAGTTTGACTATGCCTCATATTTCTGTAAGGGGAAAACTGGGCTTCATCTCTCCAGGTTCCCTGCAAGACCTAACCAGGGTGGATACAGATTTGGTTGCCATGATATAGTGCCAGGTGGCCATACAGTCATTCTCTCCTAAGGACCCAGCTCTGGGGCTCTCATTCCCTGCCCCTGCCTCTCATTCCTCCTATCCCCGCCCCCATCCCCACCCTGCCTTTTCATGGACATTTGCTGCTGTGTTTTGGCCTCTCCCCCACACTTTGAAGCTTGGGCACTGACTCTCTACAGTCCTCCACAGTACTGGTCACGCAGCTGACTGTCTGGTGGAAGATCTCCTCCATCCTGCTTCACTCCCTAAGATACATACAAATGAGTTAGGAGAAAGATAGAGTTCAAGGGATGGAGGGGCGGATTCAGCACACTGCCTTGTGAAACCCAGGGGCCCATGTATGCCTTTCCCTTAGACTATGGTTCCCTCTCCCATCTCTGATCCTTCTACAGCCCTGATGCCCTAAAATAGTGGCTGCAGGATATGTCAGGGTGGATGAAAGATGATCCTATTTCCTAAGACTCTCTGCTCTTGAACTCCTTTGAGCATACTGGCTTGGCTTCACACCCCAGTCGGTTCCCGTTGTCCTCAATACTCCCATCCAGGCGGCTCCTGGGCCCCACACCCACCTTCGATGGGGGAGTTGATGAGGATGACACGGCCCATGGGTGAGGAGGCTCGAATTCCTCGGGAGGGCCCATTCAGCAGGCGCTGCTGCTTCCTCAGCAGGTATCGTGTTGCTGTGGCGCCTGAGTCGCTGCCCAGGTGGCCTCGGGAGGACAGGGAGCTCAGGGAGCCAGAGCTGAGCTCTCCTAGACCCAGCGGGTCAAAGCCTACTGTGAAACCACGTGCCATGCTCAGGCCAGGCAGTGCCCTACAGATCCAGATGGAGTCTGCCTGTCCTCCAAAGGTTGGCTCTTGGTGTTCCAGGCTCCATGTGTGTTCTCTGTAGGGTTGGAGTCTTGATAAGGCAGATCTCACTGAGTCCTAAAAACTGCTTCTCCGGCCAACCTGGCCTAGAAAGTCTGCAAGTCAGAGCAGCTGATCCCAGGACTCTTGGAGGAGAGGGATCTTTCTGGTACAATCTCAGTTTGAATGCTTCTTAGGAGCATGGGTTCCAAGTCTGTGTAGGAAGAACAGGGTTTTGGGGAGAGGGATGAGTGCTGACCCATTTGACCCAGCTTCTACACCTCCCCCTGCCTTGAGCCATCCTGTCCTCTTATATCTTGGGCCCCTCGCCTCTTCTACCCTGAGGCCAAGGAGATCCGCCCTGTTCTGCACCGTCTTGGATTTAGGGAGCTGTTTCTACAAGGCCACTGGGGAGCTTTCCTTCATCCCTTCATCCCTCCATCCCTCCATTGCTTCTCCCAACCGAGTCATCTCCCCAGTCTCCAGTCCTCTTCTGACGCTCAGAGAGTAGATATGGGGTTACAGCAGGCTCTTGAATTTTAAACAGAGAGAGAAAAATGGGTGTCAGGACAGTATATTGCAGCATCTTTCCTGTGTATACGTATATGGGTAGGGGCTAGCATCCCGAGCTGGACTTCAGGACCTGGGACAGCTGCAGCCGAGCTTGCCCCCCACCGCCACCCCCAGGTGATTGTCAGGCTCTAGGCTGTAGCTGTGGGTCTAAAGTCGCTGCAAGACCCTATCCCGGGACTGGGTGATCTTCTGGAGAGAGCCCCATAAATCGCTAGTGCAAATCCAGGGTCATGCCCCCCAGAGCATTTCTGTGAACCAAAAAGCAGACTCCCCCATGTAGGACCTCCTGCCCCGCTACTTCTAGGACTTGGCCCCCTCACCTGGTTGCGTGTGCCGCTGCCCTTGTCGCCCGCCAGCGGGCTCCAGACAGGAAACTAAGGACCCTGCCCACGCTCGATGCGGCTGCTGGAATAGGGCTGCCATGAGCGGTCCTGGGATCCTATTGGCTGCTAAGACTGCCAGTCATTCTCTTCTGGCACCTTTGGTCGCCTGTCCGGACTGTAGCTCCTCACCTGCCTGATACCTCTGGGCTCTGACCGCCCCCACTGGTTGTTGGAACCTAGGAGTTGGCTCTGGAGTCCCGCACTGGCTACTAGAATCACGTCTTCTCCGGGCCATGCTAGCTTCCCGGGCTCCTGAAATTGCCATCCCTTCCATAGTCATTCCTGAGGTCTCTGTGGGAGAATGTCACAAACGAAAGAGCTGAACGTGAGCCTGAGATGAGCAGGGACGAAAGCTGGAACCTGGCTGTGTCGCGGCAATGCTCTGGGTGCTAATGGATAAGGGGCATGTATGTAACGCCTTCTTCATCTTCTGAGTCGAAAAAAAAAATGTTTCTCTGGACACCCTGTTCTGGAAAGGGCCGCATGACAGAGCAGCTGATCCCAGGATACTAGGAGAAGAATCTTTCTGATGCGCCTGCTTGGATGCAGGCAGAGATCACAGGAAACTCTGGCCGTGCACATTCCAGGGACTGGGGCGTCAGTCTGTGTACGGATAAGTGTTGGGGGTGCTGGCACAGTGGAGCTGGGGATTAGGTGGCAAAGGGAACTGAGAACACAAAGGGGCCCAGACACCACCACAATGTGGCTGAGAGAGGATTCGAATGATGAAGATCTGCAAGAGGAGCCTCTAGGACCTGGAGTAGCAGACCAGGGTGCAAGCAAGGAGAGCCCATTGCCAAGGCAGCCATAAGTAAACAAGCAGTAATCCGAATCCCTCCGGGCGGCGCACCATCAGAGGCCCGCCCTCCTCGCCGCTCACCCGCACCCAGTGCACCTAGACTGGGTGCTGCCGGGTTGGGTGCCCCCAGAGGCAAGCTGAGGGACTGCAAGCGAAGGAGGCAAGTGGGGCGGCTCCTCCCCTTTTCCCCCTGGTTGGGAAGGCGGCCAGAATTGCTTCCCACGACTGGGTCGAGTCTGGTCTCAACAGCCTGGTCTGGGGGAGTCACTCCATATGACATCCACTGTCCCAGAACTCTGCCAAGAGGGGGGTGGGTCAGGCGAACGAGCTTAGAGAGCCCCCGCCCTTCCCTGCTGCTCAGCGTCACGCGTGACGTCCCGGTGATGGCTGGGAGGAAAGCGGAGAGCGGTGAAGGAAGGCGGGTCTGAGAGCTGCTAAAAGCTGAAAACCCCGGAAAGCGTGAGTGCGGGCTGCCTTGCGAATCAGCAAAGTGTAGGGGTGAGGGGTTGGGGTCAGAAGAGGAGGCTTGCTTCGAAAGGCTCTCTCTCTCTTGTGGGAATTCCATATTGCGTGGTCTGATAGAATCTGTAGGGCACAAGGAGGGGTTGGTTGGGTGAGGCTGTGTGTTAGGCATGCTTTCAAATGTCTGCAACTGATAGATATGGCTGAGAGTGTGCATGTGTGTGTGTGTGTGCGTGTGTGTGTGTGTGTGTGTGTGTGTGTGTGTAACGGTATTCTGGCTGGTTGGCTAGTGTATACAGAGTGGGTCTAACCTGTTTGTGTGCCGGGGAGGGCGTGCCTGTCTTTGTGTATAAGTATGTGAGAGTTGGGTGGGGACGGAGTCTACTGTGAGGGAGGATGTGGGGTTGGAAGGGATTAGTCATTCTGCAGGATTTTTGCCTAACACAGCCAGATGGCTGTTCTTGACATTCCTTTTTGTGCTGGGTGGAGGGACAGCCATTGAATCTTGCCCTTTCCTGAGGTTTTTCTAAGGCCCGGAGAGAATTGGGTGGGTGTCTGCGTCACTCTATTCAACCCAGGCTCAGAGAGAGCCCCGGGTTATTGTGCAGGAGTCGAAGCAAAGGGGTTTGAAGAGGATATGTGTATGCTCGCATGCTTACAAATGGCTGCCACTCCAGTGCAGTTTGAGATCTGGTGCCGGTCAGCCCTCAGGTGCCTTATGACCCTTGTCTGCTCCAATCAGGGGCTTGAGTGTGGGATGACTTTTGTCATTTTCCCAAATAGCCTTGGAAATTTTTATCTAAGTCTTAGAGCAACTAGGGCCTGAAGCTGAAATGAGCTTTGGTGTGTGTAAGTTATCCATGTTCTATGCTCCTACAGTGGGAACTCAAGATAGCTGCCCTGGATTAGTGCTGGTGACTCAACCACACACATGTAAATCCTGCATCAGGCCACAGTGTGAGCAAAGCTATATTCTGGGTTCTGGTCTTCCTCCCACTCTTCAGTGGCCATAGGTCCCTGGCTAAAACACTACCTAGGGAACACCCTCCCCCACCCTTGTTTATGGAGCTGGAGTCACCTTGAGCATCTGCAAGCCCTGATCAGTTTCTGGGACCAAGGCAGAGCCACCAAAGTTTCTGTCAAGTGAATGAAGTCCTTGGACCTGATCCTTATTCTTGCTGCCTTGCAGAAGATGGGTGATTTGCCCTTAAATATCAACATTCAGGAACCTCGGTGGGACCAAAGCACATTCCTAGGCAGAGCCCGGCACTTCTTCACAGTCACTGATCCCCGAAATCTGCTGCTGTCCGGGGATCAGCTGGAAGCTTCCCGGAACATCGTTCAGAATTACAGGTGAACCTGCCTCAAATCACGCCACTGTGACACAGCACTTTAGCTCAGCGGATTTGAGGACATTTGGGCTGAGGAGACAGCACTGGTGGTGTGGGTAGGCTGCAGCTCTGCAGTTCACAGATCCACAGTAATGACATTCCTCAGTGCTGTCCACTCTGCAAGGACAAAGAGAGTCCCGCGCAGATAGAAAGGCAATCCTCTTCAGGAGATTTAACTCTTGGAATGTCCCCCAGCGATCCCAAACCCATTCGAAACCACCATCACTATGACCCTGGAGAAAATGTGGGACCACCAAGGATGTAGAAATAGGAAGGCATACTTAGGAGAAGCTTTGACCTCCCTCCCAGGGGCAGGGAGGTCCTTTACTCTGAGGTTGGGTGCCAAACTTTCTGATCCTTTGCCAAGAGTTCCCTGAGGCAAGCAGCAGAGACAAGAAGGGCCAGTCTGACCCCTGCAATAGCCTGCTGGTTTCTTGCCAATTTCTACAGGGCTGGTGTGGTAACCCCGGGGCTCACTGAGGACCAGCTATGGAGAGCCAAATACGTGTATGACTCAGCATTCCATCCGGACACGGGGGAGAAGGTGGTCTTGATTGGCCGAATGTCAGCCCAGGTGCCCATGAACATGACCATAACTGGCTGCATGCTTACCTTCTACAGGTAAATCTTATCCCATGTCCCCTTCCTGAGTGTTGTGTCCCAGAGCATGGCTGGGTGACTAGAAGTCTCCTTTGTGTACCCTTTACAGTCAAGGACAGTGGGTGGGAGAATACTATAGAACCCTTTCCATTTCTCAGAATCCAGCCTCCATGTGTGTAAGGTGCGCCCACAAGGCCGATAAGGGCAAGTTTGGGGACCATCAGCTAAGTCCCACTTGAGGAGTTAAGGAACCTCGAGGGTTTAATATTGGGGGGATATTGTGGAGGGACAGATATAAGTAGTCTGTCTTTGTCCCCTCAGGAAGACTCCGACTGTGGTGCTCTGGCAGTGGGTGAATCAGTCCTTCAATGCTATCGTGAATTACTCTAACCGCAGCGGGGACGCTCCCATCACTGTGCGGTGAGTGTACCACACCCCAGCCACTCCGGGTCCTCGTGGACCCCTGTGCTAGCAGCTCGGCTCTGCTAGCAGCTCGGCTCTCCTTTCAGCTTATTCTGTTCACCTCCCACTTAAGGGCACTCAGTCCTTTCTGTAGCTGTTTTGGGGATCCACTCCCCTTTTAAAGAAGAAGGAAGACTTTCACTGAAGTTTCCTGGAGCAGGGGAGAGCTTTCAATGGGGCTGCCCTCTGACACCTCCTGCACTGGAAACACGTAATGTCCCTAAAGGAAACGCAGGCTGGACTCTTCATCTCTCCCTGTGACCTAGCCTTTTCCTCCACAGGCAGTTGGGAACAGCCTATGTGAGTGCCACCACAGGGGCTGTGGCTACTGCTCTGGGACTCAAGTCTCTGACCAAGGTAAAGTCTCCCTACCACTACCGGCCTCTCACGAATCCTTTTTCCATTTTCCTTTTCCCTGATACCATCTCAAGAGGCTCCTCATATCCATCCTGTATTCCTCCCTACCCACGGTCCTCCAGAGCCACTGAACACCCCCTTTGCTCCCCCAGCACCTACCCCCACTAGTCGGTCGGTTCGTGCCCTTCGCAGCTGTGGCCGCAGCCAACTGTATCAACATCCCCCTGATGAGGCAGAGGTGAGTGGTCCTGGCTCGTGTCACAGGAATGTCATGACAGGGCTTACATGACAGATCCTCCCCTCCTGCAGACCAGCCAGGCCAGGGGCAGACTTCTCCATCACTGGATGTGAGCAGCTGGGCCCTGGATTAGACTGACCCTGTGTTTGAGAACAACCAGTTCCCACTCTGTGAGAACTTGCCCTGAGGTGAGGTGAGACTGTAGGGTGCAGGGTTTTAGAAAGGGCACCTCACTGGGAACTTGCTGATAGGGCCGAGGCATTGGGCGGCAGCAGCAAAACCAGCTCCTCGTGACTTGAATGAGAAGGAACACTGCATTTGATAGGTTGAAGGTGACTTTTCAATAAGCAAAAATGTACCCTGAAGTATCTCATGCCACCGTCAAGGAAATCACATTTCCGGCAGTAGTGACATCAGTGTGTTGGTTATAAAACTCTATGTGCCTTTTTGGTTTTTTGTTTGTTTTGTTTTGAGACAGGGTTTCTCTGTGTAGGCCTGGACCTCACTATGTAGACCAGGCTGGCCTTGAATTCAGAGCACATGCCTGCCTTTGCCTGCTGGTATTAAATACTTGGCTCACACAGCATTCTTAATAGTTTTGTTTTGCCAGGCAGTGGTGGGACACACCTTTAATCCCAACACTTGGGAGGCAGAGGCAGGCGGATTTCTGAGTTCGAGGCCAGCCTGGTTTACAGAGTGAGTTCCGGGACAGCCAGGACTATACAGAGAGACCCTGTCTCAAAAGCACAAAAAACAACAACAACAAAAAAAAGTTTTGTTTGTTTGTTATTTTATGTGAGTACACTGTAGCTGTCTTCAGACACCAGAAGAGGGCATCAGATCCCATTATAGATGGTTGTGAGCCACCATGTGGTTGCTGGGAATTGAACTCAGGACCTCTGGAAGAGCAGTCAGTGCTCTTAACCACTGAGCCATCTCTCCAGTCCCAGTTTTGTTTATCTGGGATGCTTTGTGGAGAAACCCCACCTGGGCTACTCAGGGGCATTTTTGGTAGTTAGGACTCAAGATACTTGCTCCTGTCATGCTTGATCCCAGTACCTTGGGAATGACCCCACATCCTGGCTCCTCTCCAAACTCGTCTTCTTCAACCAACTGAATGACCCAAAACTTACCCACATTCCCTGGTTGGCCAGGCATCTCTCTATCTACTCTCTCTGGGATCTACCCTACACCCTGGGAGCTGTTCAGAACTAGCCTTTGAGTGGGGAAGGTAAAGGGTCCCCAGAGATCTGCTGCCTACAGTCTGACTCCAGCTCTTTCTCTTCTTAGGGAGCTGCAGGTGGGCATCCCAGTGACTGATGAGGCTGGTCAGAGGCTTGGCCACTCGGTGACTGCTGCTAAACAGGGAATCTTCCAGGTGGTGATATCGAGAATCGGCATGGCGATTCCTGCCATGGGTGAGGCAGGGATGGCTGAGGGGAGCTCAGGAGGAGAGAAGAGAGCTTGGGGGTCTCAGGGTTTTCTGATAACTCAGTCAGCAAGTCTGGGAAGAATGGGAGGAGCTGGGAGGGAGGCTCTCCCTCAGTCTCCTGGAGTTTGCTCCATGATCTCTCTCACTACCCTGTTCTCCCCTCAGCCATTCCCCCAGTGATCATGAACACTCTGGAGAAGAAAGATTTTCTGAAGGTAAATAACTCACCTTTTACCTATTCTGTCCCAGGAGGGTTGGTGTTGAAGAGAAATGACCTGTCCCCAGTCCTCTCTCCAGCCTGGCCTAAGTCTAAGACTTGTGGTCCTTCCCTGCCTCTGTACCTTCATTCATTCATGAAGAAAGAGTGGACTGGAGGGAAGGAACGGTGAGGGGGAGACAGAAGGGAGGAAATGGAGTCCATCCTGAGGAAACTAGATTAACTCCAGAGGTCTCTGACATACACAAGATGACTGTCACCCACAGGCTTGATGGCATACTCGTGATGTCATGCACTGTGTCCCCAGTAACAGGCACACATACATACTCATGAATGCACAAACAAGTTAGGGAAGCAAGGCTCAGGAATAGTCTCCAGCTCATTCATCCAATCAAGTATCCACCAGTCAGTACTCAGCGCCAACTGCGCACCAGACACGCTAAACAGAGCTAACATGGCTGTGGACCCGTCCTCACGAGGCTTACAGTACGGAAACCCATAAAAGAGAAAACAATAGGGCTGGATGTGGTGGCTCACATCTTTAATCCCGGCGCCCTGGAAGCAGGGGCAAGTGGATCTCTGTGAATTTGAGGCCACCCTGGTCTACATAGCAAATTCCAGCCCAACCAGAGCTACACAATGAGACCTTTTCTCAAAAAACAAAAACAACAACAAAAAAAACAAACCCCCAAACAAAATCAACAACACCCCAAAAAGCAAAACAAAACAGAACAAACAAACAAAAAAAAACACAAAACAAAAACCAAACATATCATTGTAAGTTATGAAATGTGCTTTGTAAGAATCCAGTGGGGCAGTGTAATTGAGACTATCTGGGGAACAGTTTAGGCAAGCACAGGCCTCGGGAGATCCAAGGAGTGAGGTAAGTCAGGCAAAGAGTGTTTCAGATAGAGAGAACAGCTTGTGCAAAGGCCCAGAGGCAGGATAGCCTGATACATTTGAAGGACAGAACAATGGCTGAAGAGGATGTAGGAGGGTGTGAAGAGGGACATATTTATGCCCTGGGATGACAGGAAGTGAGTGGAGGCCCAAGGGAGGCTCCCTGAAGAAAGTAGCTGCTGGAGGAAATGGGGTAAGAGAAAGATGGTTAGAGTACAATGGGAACCGATTCTGAGAGGCAAGAATGTACTGCGGGCTAGGCAGCAGGTCTGGTAGGGGTGGGAGGTTGCCGTGTGCAGGTCCCAGCCCCTCATTGGCTGGGAAGAGACAAGGGCTGCTGAGCTAGAACCATGGTGCAGAAAGGTAGGTGGAGTTGGGGGAAAAAAACAGGATGTAAGCCATTCTGTTGTCTCTGTTTCCCACAGCGCCGCCCCTGGCTGGGGGCGCCCCTGCAGGTGGGACTAGTAGGCTTCTGGTAAGTGTGCAGAAGGGTCAATGGGGGCACATGGGAGAGCCTTTATCATTTTGGGTGTGGGTGGGCATATACTATCTTTGAGATGCTTACATACATTGCTTAATCATATATCCAGTTCCAACGGATACCCACAGTGCAAAATATGCCTGCGTGTGCGCGCAGGCTGAGTGCATGAGTGTTGGGGGGGCTCTAGGGGTTCTTGCCTCTGAAAGTTGAGGGGTTCAGTCTTCACTCACCAGAGGAAGCCATACAAACAAACTCTTCGGTACGATCCAGGAATTGCATCCCGTTTTATCCCTGGTCCTGTTGCTCTCTGATCATGGGGCTTTGGATGATGCGTGGGAAGCTCTTTCCTCAGGCAGAATCTGCTGTCAGGACTGAGTGTAACATCCCTGAATGGTCCTTCAACTCCGTTTTCCAACCTATATAGCTGGAACAGAGCTCAAAAAAAGGCCTTCGTTCCTGGGTCTATTTCTGTGAGGTGGGGTACAGGGAGGGGACACTCAAGCCAGTGTCACAGACATTTCCTGTGTTCTACTTCTCTAGCTTGGTATTTGCCACACCCCTGTGCTGCGCTCTGTTCCCTCAGAGAAGGTGAGTGACGCCGGTGGACCTCACCAGAGTCTCAGCACGGGACCCCGTCTCAGGCCCTTAGTGTGTTCTAGGGAGGCCTGCTAGGAGCATCTGGGAGCTGGGGGAATGACAGTGAGCCAGCCCTTCTGAAAGCAGGGAGGATTCTTCACCTGAGAGTGGAGGGAAGCCGGATCCTGGGTCTGAGCCGCTGAGCCCGGAGCATATCCATCTAGCATGTGCTGTTTGTTCTGTTGCAGCTCCATACAAGTGAGCAGGCTGGAGCCGGAGCTGAGAGCTCAGATCGAAGCACAAAACCCCAGCATCGATGTGGTTTACTACAACAAGGGGCTCTGAGGGGAGTCGGCCTCTGCCCCTGTCCTTACCTCCTTAGGCTGCTTCTCTGGTGCCACCTTGTAACGCTACCACCTGTTTATCTTCCGGGTACCGGGCGAGGGGCTTGATGTTGGAGCAGCCACTGAGACCAGCAAACTTAGACTGGGGGAGGCACCCCTATAAGCCTCTTCTCTCCTCTCTGGTTTCAAAGAGCAAGTCACAAAACCCATCCCTCCTGTGTTTGTGTGTGTGCAGAGACACATGCAGCACATACAAGTGTTTATACATTTGGTCCTGGAAGCTAAGAGCAGAAATGCTGTTCTAGGATGTCCTGATATTTGTCTTCTCTCCTCAGACTCCTGTCTACCTAACAGTAAGCCAGGTGATAGGTGGGACTTCCTTCCCTAAACTGTTCCTCTGGCCAAGTCATTTCTGACAGCATCTTAGCCTTCTGCACCCAAGATTAGCCCCAGGATCCCAGAACACCAACTAAAGGACATCAGCAGGCCACAACAACTTAACACTTCAGGTTTCGAGTAGCTAGCTCTAAAAGCTGGTTCAGGACCTGGGCTGGCAGAGGCAGCAGTGCGGGATCAGGGAGGCGGGGGGCTCATGTTTGCTGGTCCCCACACCCTAGAATGACTTCACTCCTCTCTTCTTTTCTTGTGGAACACGGGGATGTCAGTAGCCTGCACTGCTCTCCACGCTTCAATGTGGGTGCTTTTAGGGACAGTTTTGGATATCCTTGGTCTGTTCTGATGACTCATGACTCAGACAGAAATCCCATACTTCCAATTCCTTCCCCAGTTAGAAAGCCACACAGGAAGAGCAAGCATTCCCTTCAGGAGCTGCCACCACCCGTACCCACTTATAGGGGGACCGGAGTGGGAACGGTGCTTAAACACAGGCCTCAAGCGTACAATATCAAGACAGGTAATTCTGTGTTTTGTTGACTCTTCTTAGACACACCCCCGACCTCAGCTCCTTCCTTTCCATCTACCCTGTCTCTGGGAGAACCCAGGGCTTCATATATGATAGGCAAGTGCTCTACCACTGAGCTATAGCCCCGGTGCGCTCTCTTGCGCTCTCTCTCTCTTTCTTCCTCACTCTCCTTCCTTCCTACCTTTCTGTCTGTCTTTATTTCCATCTTTCTTTATTTTTTGTTTGTTTTTGTTTTTCAAATATGGTTTCTCTGTGCAGCCCTGGCTGTCCTGGAACTCAGAGATCTGATTATCTCCTCCAGTGAGTGCTAGGATTAAAGGCATGTGCCATCATTGCCAGCAGCCCTTCTCTTTCTTAAGACATGGCCCTGTGCTCCCTCTGCCCTTAATTTCAAAAAGAGGAGGGATCCAGGCCTTAATAGCTGGACCAAATGGAAGATGGGCTTAGGAATGGCGTGGGTGGTAGTGACTTCACTCTAAATCCATGACCTCTAGCTAAAAGGTGAATGGGGTCCCCAGTGACATCCACGGAGACCATTTTCACTAACCCCCTCCTCCAGTGACAACAGCTGTCATGTCATGGTGTCAATAAACTGCAATCCTGTCTAGCTCTTGATCTTCGGTTATTCATGTCCCACTTGTCTAAGTGTCCAGGAGATTCTCCTGCCTTCAGCTTCTCCCCAAAGTCTTCCCTACCGTCTGTAGGGAGTCTCATCTCCCAGCAGAGGGCTCTCTGAGCTTACAAAGTGGGTCCTCGGGCTAGTACCTATTCCCTTGGAAACTGGAGCCTTGGCTTCATTTCTTTCTTCACTAAGAGAGGACTGCTCACATATATGTTAATGGAAGCTCTTGCCTTTTGGTTTCTTTGAAGAATCTGTCAAAAATGGTGACCTCTGTGTCTAGGAAACCGTTAGAGATGGGAGAGGAGGCCAGCAAGTGCCTGTGCCACCAGAGTGAAGCTGGAAGGGAATGGGAACAGCACCTCCTCTGTCTTTACCAGGTCACTATGGAAACAGGCCTGGCCAGATCCCTTCCCATCACCCAGGGTTCTTCTCTCTCTCTCTCTCTCTCTCTCTCTCTCTCT